GTGTGTGTGTGTGTGTGTGTGTGTGTGTGTGTGTGTGTGTGTGTGTGTGTGTGGTGGATGTGTGTGGATGTATGTAAATCTCTTATAACTTTTGAACGGCTTGACCGATTTGATTGCGGTTGGTGCCATTCGAAAGGGCTTGCCCAAACTTAGATTTCCTGCAAATTTGAACCGATTCGGATCGATAGATTTTGAGAAATCGTAAAAAAACTACAAAAAAAAATTTTTTCAAAAGTGGTTTTTTTGAAATAACTTTCAAACGGCTCTACCGATCAATTTCAAAAACTAATCAGCTCTTAACGTCAAAAAACCACGTCGATCGCCGCCAGTCCGGTCAAAATCGGTTAATTCGTTCGTGAGTTATCGTTGACGAAAGAAAACCGAAAAAAGAGTTTTTTTGGAATTACTCCGAATTTTTCCACTCTGTCGATATAAACTCAAAAATTTTTTATGAAGCTTAAAAAACTGCGTTGAATGCCGCCAACCGCGTGAAAATCGGTTCATTCATTCAAAAGTTATTGCGATTTGAAAATCAAAAAAATAGTGTTTTATCAAACTTTTGAGCTCGAAGAGCTCAAAAGCATACAAAAGCTATTTTTTTGAGCTCGGAGAGCTCAAAATAATACACAAATTGTATTTAAGAGCTCGAAGAGCTCTAAAACGACATAAGTGCAATTTCAAGCGTTTGGGTATAGAATTGGCGGGAAGTTGCAGGGATGGCCTTCAGGGTCAACCGTTTTCCTAATTTTTTTAATTAACGTAAAATACTAACTAGAATTTAATTTTGAAATAATTTTAATTGGATCAGAATTTTGTTGTTACTTCAAAATTTAATAATAGAATTTATTATTTTAGAGGAATGATTAATGTCCACGCAAGTCTACTGCCACGATGGAGAGGTGCTGCTCCAATAATTTATTCATTGATGAACGGCGATACTCAAACTGGAGTAGCTATCATGAAAATTATGCCCAAGAAGTAAGCTTTATTACATTTTTATATAAAATAAAACTCGATTATGAATTTTTAATTTGACTTACAGCAAAAAACTCATAATTTATTATTTTATCGGCTTAAAAATTGTTTAAAGAAAAAGGGCCGAAATACGTACATTGAAAAATTTTTTCAAATTTTCAAAATCACGTAATTAATTAAATAAATCATAAAAACTAGACGAATAGTAGCTTAAATTAAAGGTAATTAAATAAAGTTTGAGATAAATTTAATCGATTTCATCTATCTTTTACACCTGGAAAATTGTTTCCATAAAATATACAAAATTCAAAATTTTTTAAAAATAAAAAAAATTTTCAAACACTCACAACTCGTAAACTAACCGGCCGATTTTGCTCATCTTTGAACTTGATCTTAGTATTGATCCACAGAATGAGCACACGAAATTTCATAAAGATCGGTTGAGAACTGTGGACGCAATCCTGCTTACATGGCACGTTATATCACATAAATACGTATATAAACTTTTGAGCCAATGCCATTTTTTCGACATTGCTCGATAAAATGAAAGATATTATGACAAAATTTTCTTAAAATTACAACATGAGACCGACTACACCACATAGATTTCTAAAGAAATCAACCCAAAAAAAATAACTTCTTCAATTTATATTTATAGGTTTGATGTTGGTGATATTTTAGCCCAAAAAATCGTTGATATTCACCCAGATGAAACTCAACCAGAGCTTTATGATAAGTTATCTAAAATTGGAGCTAACTTATTGATAGAAACAATCGAAAATTTACCACACATGCTCAATTCTGGAAAACCACAATCTGAAATTGATGTTACTTATGGTATAAATTATATTATATAGAAAAAAATTTTTTTTGTATTTTTTTATTTTTTAAAATAATTATTTATTCTTTAATTCAGCACCTAAAATTACACGAAAACTTTCATCAGTTAATTGGAATGAATTGTCTGCGAAAAATGTGTATGACATTCAAAGAGCATTAACAGGAATATATCCATTGATAACAAACTATAATGGTGAAAAAATGAAAATTTTTGGGGTAAAATTACTCAATAATCCATCAGACAAATCAATTACGTCACAAATTACGCCAGGTTTGTCTTTAATAAATTATTTATTTCAATAGAAAATAATAGAAAATTTTTTTTTCAATTATTACAAAAATTTCTCAAAAATTTTTTTAATTTAAAGATTAAAAATTTTTATTATTTTTCTGTTATTGTAAAAAAAAAATTAAAATAAAAATAATTTACATTTTTTATTTTCAGGATTAATGATGTTCGATAAAAAATTAAATTTATTAATAGTTCAATGTAAAGATGGCAATTGGATATCTGTGGAGCAAGTATCACTGGCTAATCGTAAAAAAATGTCAGCGAAAGAATTTTACAATGGATTTTTATCACGAAAAGAAAATCGAGTAGTTTTAAAATATTCTAACGATTAGAAGTTGAACTTTTTTTAAATTTTTTTTATGATTAATAAAAATGATCATAAATTTTTTTTATGATTAATAAAAATGTTTTGATGTATAAATGATTATAAATATGTATAAATGTTACTCTTAATATAAATTTTATTTTCATTCGAATCGGTACCTATATAAAAATCAAGTTAATTGATTTACTTAGTACACATTTATTGTGTACTTTTTTAATCGATTGAAATATAATTAATAATACAAAATAGAATTAAATTTTTAAATTTAAATTACTCAATCTTACATAATATCTTAAATCAGAACGATTTCCATGTCGATATATTTACGTCGATTAATTTTCAGCTTCAGAGGCCTGAAAAAATAAATTTTAATAATTTTAAAGTCTTATGTTTTATTAGTTTGTCTAAATAAATATAGATAAAAATATATATTTACAATAAAGTTGTAGAAAAAAATTAAATTTCTAAATTTCTAATCAAAAATTTAGATCCAAACAATTAAATTTATATTCTAATAATTGATCGAAAAAATTTTTGATTATTTACGATCATGATCTCTATATTTTATTTAACCTTTCATTACACGAGTCGCAGGAAATTATTGCAATGCTTTTTAAGGATTATTTTACAAAATTCAAATTGACTAACCATAATCTGTATTATTGCGAGAATAAGAAAAATGTTGTGTCCAGGATAGTCATATGATAAAATCGGTTAAATTTAGTTTTGTGAAATTTAGTGTCATTGCAAAGGTCTTGATTTGAATTTGTGCCTTTTCAAGATTTCATATCATTTTCACCGATAGTGAATTTATGATGATAAGTATTTAGGCTGCATTCGAAAATTCTCTATCTCTAGATATATAATTAAGAAATGACCTTGTATCATGAAAACTATTGACATTTGTAAAGATATAAGCTCACCCTGACATTACACTCATCGAGACCTTTCATTTGAGTACCCACATCAATTTTTCATATATTTTATATATTTATATATATTGTATATATGTATATATGAAAAATATATCAAAATGCATGTGGGTACTCAAATGAAAGCTCTTGATGAATGTAACGTCGGAATGAGCTTATATCTTTATAAATGTCAATAGTTAAGAAAGTACAGGGCATTTTAACAAATATCTTGTGAACTGTTGACATTTTTAAAGATATAAGCTCACTCTGACATTACACACATCGAGACCTTTTATTCGAATACCCACATCAATTTTTCATATATTTTATATATTTATATATATTGTATATATGTATATATGAAAAATATATCAAAAACGCATGTGGGTACTCAAATGAAAGTTTTTGATGAGTGTAACATCATGATGAGTTTTTAACTTCAAAAATATCATAAGTTGGCAAAATACAATATAATTTCTTAATTATTGACATTTTTAACGATATAAGCTCATTTTAATATTACACTCATCGAGACCTTTCATTTGAATACCCACATCAATTTTTCATATGTATCATATATTTATGTATATTATATATATACTAGTATACGTTGCGCGCGCAAGCGCGCGTGTGAATGTTGGTATGGAATTATCTATATTTTCATGCTTATGATATGTTTGACCAATCACGTTACGAATAAAATGTCTTCATCAATGTATATTTTCATATTTTTCATCTAAATTATAAGAGTGGATTATTCCTCTGAGTGTATTGTACCTACGTACTATATATATAGTATAATACCCCCGAAAGTAGCAAATAAATAGCAGACTGAATACTCAGCGAATTAACCCTCGATGGGATGAATGCAGCGCGCAATAACCAGGGGTTGATTGTGTATCTGTGACTACTTGACATCCCATACACGTATATTCATCCTTGAGTACGTAGTTGTATACAAAGGTATAACGGTTAACTTTAACGTTCTATGATAGGTCTTCATGAGAGTAACATCGGGATGAGCTTATTTCTTTAAAAACGTCAATAGTTAAAAAAGTACAGTGCAATTTAACAAAAGTCATTATTAAATAAAGCAAAATTTTATTTATTTATAGTTTACTAGTCACGGCAGTCACATAATGACTGCAAGGTTGCTAGTAATCAATAAATTCTTAATCATTTGTAAGCAATAATTCTGATAGTTTTTATAATATTTCAAATAAAAATCAACGTGAGTAACGAAAGATTAATCGTGAATTTGTCAAGTATTACTTACACTGGGATCACAATCTGCACAATGCCAAGAGTATCCTCGTCGCTTAGGTGACTTTTTAACCGGAGGTTCCAAACAAGTGAAATGATAACATTTTTTGCACTCATCACACCTAGAAAAAAAAAGTTCAATTTAATAACAATCAATTCTTTGGTAAGTAATTTTTGAAGTGAAGAAATAATAATTTATTACTAACATCACAATATTCTGTGAAGTTCCAGTTGAGCCGCAAACAGTACAATGAGTAAGAAGTTCAGCGTCTTTAACTTTCTTCCCTGACGATAATCGAGAATTACTGGAAGTATTAACGACTACTGGCGTAATTGGGTTATTAATTATCATAGGTGCTGGAGGAATCGGAGAAGTTTGAGGAACTGGTGGCGGAGGTGGAGGTGGAACTGGAACTGGAACTGGAAAGACATGAACAGGCGGGGGTGGTGGTGGAGGTGTTGTTATTTCTGTACTCGTCGAAGTAGCGACAAACATTTGTGGACTCGAGTCTGAGACTTCAGAACCTTCTGGTCTAGGAATCGGCTTGATCTAAAATAAATCCACATAAGTAATTATTATTTAAGCTGGATGGCTCGTGTGTCAGCTCGTTTTTTAATTTTTTTTGTTAAACAATGAAAATTTTCAATAATTTTACTTCTTAACTAAAGAAATAAAAATTTTTTTAAAGATTTGGGAAAAAAAAATTTTTGATGAAAATTCACAAGTTGTTTGTCTAAAATTATTTTTTTCCAAATCAAAAAAAATTTTTCAACAAGAAAGTTACTGTTAGAAAAATCCGAACAAAAACAGTTTCACTGTAAAAAAATCGCGCCAAGTCCACGTTCATAAGATTATTAAGAAAAAAAAATTAGTTTTTTCTTTACAAAAAGATATAAAATTAAAAAATTAAAAAATCCAAAAAGTCAGGATCGAAATTTTTGCGTTGCTATAGTTTGTGCTGATTAAATTTATTAATTTCAAGTAGATTAATTGTTATAAGTGAATATAATTAATTAATAACAGTAAAATAAAGTATGAATTACTGTTATAATATACAATTTAGGAAAAAAAAGTACCGTAGAATTAAATAAAATTTTGCAACCTCAAAATACCGTTCTGCTTACAGTAAACACAGTCGGTAGTCTGGCGCTCCGTTTACAACGGATTTGAACGGAACTTGGCGCCAGATTCTACCGAGTCTGTGGATTTGGATTTCTTCTATCTTTCTATTGTTCGTCAAAAAATTTCCCAAAAAAATGGGCCGTCCCACGAGCCTCTAAAAATACAAAAACTCAAGTCAATTAAAAGTTCTTTAAATACCTTAATCGTAATCCTTCGGTGAATTTCAGGTTGACCATCTGGATTTTCAACATCCAAGCTCTTCCTCTTGTGCTTACGTTTCCGTTGTTTAATTCCCGTGATAGGATCTGGAGTATATCTTTTATGTTTCTCTCGTCGCCTTTTTTTAGCACTTCGCTGGGAGACTGACTCAGTCCCATCGGCAGAAGCTACCATGTACTGCGGAGAACCTTCTCGAGGAGTAATTGGTACAGTGACACTTGGTGGAACGTATGGCGAGTTTTCAACTTGTATGGGCTCAGCTACCGGTGGTTGGGGAATAATCATTGGCTTGATAGTCAACTTCGGCATAGGTTGCGGTTCCGAAATCACTACTGTAGGGATTACCGCTTTTGATGATGTAGGTGTGCTTGGAGTGCTTGGTAATTGGCTTTCTTCACTCGGTGCTACTTCGTCTTTACAGTGACGTAATTTTCTAGGTGCTGAGGTATCGACATGCTCGACTTCTGATCCTGAAGATTCTTTATCACACTCAGAACATTGCCTGTAATTTAATTTAATTAATATAATCAAAGAATTTTTTACTTTTGAAGTAATTAATATAGAAAATTATAATAATTTTTTTTTTTTTAAGGGGGTCACCCAGTGTGATAAATAGAAAAAATTTAATTTTTTTTTTGCATAAATTAATTACTAGAATTATGGTACGCCGTTTTCCTATTTAATAGTAAAAGATAAATTATCATAAAATTAATAAATAAAAAGAAAAATTTTTATTTTATGTCACAAAATAATTAAAATGAAATAGATTAATTTGATGTTTACACATAAATTTTTGGTAATTATTTACAAATAGGGTCAATCCATTCTGGGCTATGTTAAATTTTTTTTTTTTGATTAAATTGATCAATTTTTTTTTTAAATTGTTCGTTTTTTATGTACTTTAAAAAAAATATATATATATCAAAAAAGATAAAATAGAAATTTTATCTAAAAATATGAAAGCCAAAATTTTCTTCGAATTTTAAAGACAAAAACGCTATTGAAATCTTTATTTTTTCCTTTCACGACATTTTTTATCATAAATGCGCCGTAAAAATAAGCTGTATAAAAAAAAATTTGAAAATGTTAATTTTTCACCTAGTTATGGTCCAAAATGTGGTTGACCCCACTTGTTAATAATTACTAAATTTTTTTGAGAAATAATTATTTTGAAGGAAGATTATACAATATTAGCGAGTTAGAATTATGAACTGAATATAGAAAAGATATTTATATTTAGTGTCATGATTAGGGCCAGGACATTTGCGTTCATCTCAAAATATTATTTAATCATAAATGGTGTCAAATATTTGATATTACGGCGGAAATATTAGTCGTATAAAAAATTGAGATTTTTATAATTAGCAAAAATTGAAATCGTTTATTGTGAATCTTAATTGAGGGGTTACGGTGAAAATATTTAACGTATAAAAAAATTATATAAGATATTTCTTCTGGAAAATTTAATTTTCCACAACTTTTTTATGAAAACTTTTTTTACAAGACTAATATTTTCTTTATGTAGTGACATAAATTAAGTTAGCTTTTCTAGATTCATATTTTTGGAGTAATTGTTGATAATATTTCAAGTTTTTTAAGTACAAAATTTAATATAAATAAGAATTAAATTATGGACATAGTAAAAATTCAGAATTAAAATTATTTATATTAAATGGTTTAGAATAAGCTGATAAAATGATTTTATAATATCCGACGTTGGAAAGTTATAGTTCGAAATAATTAGTTGAGTACTTCAACATTTTAATGCGTTTTTTCTAACTTGTTTCTACAATATCTCTAAAATAGCTTTACCGATTGCATTAAAATTTTAATGATAAATTCAGATAATATATAGCCGTACGATGAATTAGAATTACTTGGAAAGTTTTAGTGGTTCTATTTGTATCGAAAAAAATCATGAAATTTTCAAAAATTTGGCAATTCAATTTTAAATAGGGTAAAGGAACCAAATACTGACCAGGCAGCATGACAACTTGATTTAAAAAAATCTAGTAATTTAATTTTATATTCAGTACGTAATTATCAGTTTTTAATTATACTTTAAATGAAAATTTGTGCATGGACATAAATACATGCATTTGTTATAATAAAAAAAAAATAAGTTAGTGTACAAATATCAGAAAGTTGAGAAAATTAGTCATTAGAATTTAACCACGCCATGTTAGGTAATTACATTTGTGATCAATTTATATGAAATTAAATACTTTATAATCAATAAATAAGTATTTGTTAAAACAATTTAATATTGAAGATTAATTATGAATAATTTTTGTTAGAAAAGCCATATTAATAATTAAAATAATACTTTGGTCAACAATTGGTGTTTTAAATTATCCAATGTACCTAATATTAGTATGGCTTCGGCCATTGATTTCAATATGAGTACTGAACATAATTTTTTATCAGAATACAGAATAACTAACAACAATACTGAAATTATCAACATGTCAGTGAATAGATTACCTAATGTCGGAACTATTATAGATAAAAAATAAAAGTTATTTCTAAGACTTGTAAGCATAATATAACTGGTCAGTATTTGGAACATAGGCGGTCAATAAATAATGCGTAATGGTCAATATTCGGAGCAACCGGCTGTAACGTTAATTATTATAATTTAAAGTTTATTATTATGTATTTTATAAACAAAACTATTATAGTTTATAAGTTGAAACTATAAAAAAAGCATAACACTCGTTTCAGCTCATAAACTCTTCGAATAAATTTACTGATAATGTATTTATGTTTATTTTATCTAATCTGGTCAATATTTGTAGCCTTTACCCTACTAGTGCCAATTTTTCATAAACTATCAATAAATTTCACCGTTTGTTAATTACTTTATTACAAGGTAAAATAAATATTTGTAAAATAGTTTATAAAATGCGAAAAATTTCTAAAAGATAAAAAGTATAGCGTAAATAAAAAATAACTGTTAATAAAAATAACGACATACGTAGCATAATTTTTGTTGGGTATTAAAAATTCAGTATACGGATGCCAGTGCAATTCTACTAAACTTGACTGAAAAACTCGAAATATAATTGAATGTGTTACGAGAAGCTTATTATGTATTAAACAGAAAGATAGAACTGTTTAAAAAAATTTTTAATAATAAAAATATAATAGATAATATTCAACTATCATTTTTTCAAGATGGGTATCTTCGGAGTGGTACTACTCATATTTTTACGGAAATTTATACCTAAATATTTTTCAATTTACTGAAATAATAAATATATCATAAAATATTCAAAGTTCTATCTTTTCATTCATCAAAAAAATTTCCTAAAAAACATTTTTAGGTAGATTTCATAGAAATCAATTTTTTGCATTGGTCCTCATGTCAGAATTTACTCGGAATTTTGTCGTAATATCTCTTAACTAGTCGAGTAAAGCTCAAAAATAACGTTAGTTAAAAAATTTATATGTGTATGTATATATTTATATGTAATATAACGCGGGATGTTGCCGCGAGTGTGTCTACAGTTCTTGACGGATCTTGATGAAATTTTACACATATTTTTTGGGTAATTACCTTGAACGAGTTCGAAGATGAGCAAAATCGATCAATTAGTTAAAAAATGGCGGCCATTTAAAATTTTAAAAATAGTGAAAATCACGTTTTTGGTCACTTCATTGATGTATAACTTTTGATTGAACAGAGATAGCTAATTTTTGAAAAATTCATGTGATAGCTCATAAAATTACCTTTAATTTGACGTATATGATATTGACATTTTGACCATTTTTAGTTATTTTATCAAAGTTAAGAGTTCTATTGAACCATTTTCAGGTAATGTGTAGTACAACCGACTTATAAATATACAATTAGCTTGTGTACATTTATGTATAACTTTTAATAGCAAAAAGATAGCTGATTTTTGATAAATTCATGTAAAAGCTCATGAAATTACCTATGGGTGATTCTCTGTAAGGATGTTTTTTTGCTGTCCCAGGCATTTTTTTATTAGAAAAATTGTCATTTTGTTACTGAAAAAAATTTATTACGAAAGTAAAAAAACATTTCTATTTGGAGCATTGAAAACTAAAATAAAATAAATTTTGGTTTTTTTGCTATAAATTCGTAAGCCACCGAAATAACAGTCCCCTGGGCTGTCCCACTCCCAAAATTAAAACTTTAAGATTAAATCTTAAGTTATTCGTCTATAATATATAATTTGGTCCATAATGTTTATAAACTTAATTAGTTAACTAACAATCTTCTTCAATGAAAAGTACCGAAAATTAATTTGTTTCATTAATTCATTAAACTAAAGTTTGTCCCAGACATTTTAAGAACAGTCCCCTGCCAGAAGTTCAAAGCCAAAAAAAAAATCCAGCGTGTTATTTTACCTTTTGTAAGGTTTATAAGGATCTAACTAGCCTTGAGTTAATAACCATAGGGCTGTTAGCGCTTTATCGCCATTTTATTTAGTGTCAAAGCACCGTTTGTGCTGGAAATATGTGTCTGGGCCATTTCAAAACTCAGTCCCCTGGCAACTATTTTTATTTATAATTTATTTATAAAATTGGATCCATAAGTCTTAATATTATTCTAATTAATGTAAACATTCATTGAGAACTTGAAAAGTTGAATGCATTGAAATAGTTTGCTTGATTTTTCTCAATTTGATAAAAAAAAAAAAAAAATCCCCTGGCAAACAGTCCCCTGTCATGTTATATGGCAAAAGATACACAAATATCGAAAAAGCAAAAATTAATTCGGCTGTTTATTTATTATGATTAAGCTGATAGTTTTGTAGCCCTTGTTAATTTTTTTTCTAATAAAATCAAAAATAATTTGGTCGAACAATTTTGTACAAATTTAAGACGTCCTTACAGAGAATCACCCATATTAAAATAAATTTCATTCCCTGTCAAGTGAAAGTTATTGAGACAACATGATAATTCATTCTATGAAATCTACCTTCCATTTCGGGTGTGGCCAAATGGCGTATTCTTTAAAAACCAGAGTGACCTCCTTAATTTTAATTTAAAAAATAAAAAAAAAATATTTACCAGCCCATAAGTTTAGTTTTCTTGGGCATACGAGACAACGGAGGGCTCAAGCAAGAAAGATGATAATGAAGATGACACGTGTCACACTTAGCAAGCAAATGTTGATTGGTCGCTCTACGACAAATTCCGCACTGATGTCTAAGTGTCAGCTCAGGTTTTTGCGTAAGTTCCATAGCTTGACTACTAAGAACTCGGCCTTCCCTCGCACCTTCACTTCCTTTGCTAACAGGCAGTGGAAAACCAACCCCCATTTTAAGCGCAGCTGCCGTAGGAACCCCGAGTCCCGTACCTAAAAACGAATTTTTATAAACACATTTCTTATAAAAATCTACATAATAACAACAATCATTATTATATCTACCTAAAGTAGGCACTCGGGGTTTCGAAAGATCTCCAATAAGTGGTAATGGCTTAACATAACCAGCGAGTCTAATAACTTGATGATACAATTCTATTTTTTCTTTCAAAGTAACATTTATCCTAATCTGTTCTTCATTGTCTTTCATAACTTCGTCGTACCTTCTGTCAAGTCTTTGCTGGTCAGTCAGCAGCTGTGTGTTGACATCCAGCAGCTCTTGAAGCTTGCGTTTCATCGATATCACACGTAAATTACGATCAAGATAATAACCAATAAACTCAACGCTAAACGCCGGAGGAATATGCCATTTTTTCCTGACATCAACCAGAGCAACAAGCTGGGCTTCTTGCGCTTCTAACGCAACTGTGTCTATCCCCATAAGCTCAGCTTTTCTTGCTAATTGCCGACAAGCAGACGCCGAGGTAGTCAATAAACGCGGCATCTTTTGAGTAGGCACCCAAGGTGGTTGCCTTGATGCTTTGTGAGCCAAATATTTATGTCTGTGCTTAGCGAGTTTTCTTTGAATCCGGCGCTGCTCTTCAGTATCTAGATGTCCTGGCTGCTTCAGTAACTCTTGGCGATACTGAGCGCGAATTTGTAACGCTAACCAGTTGCGTCTTCGTCTTCGAACTAGTGTTTTATCAGAATGTAATTTACAATGAGCGTAAAATGGGTCGGCTTGATCTACTTCTTCACTGTGCGCTTCTGATAACAATCCTTCTCTTTGGGCACAAGTTACGTGGAAATACGTATGGCACATTCCTGCGTCGCACTCAATACACACCCCGGTACGAGCAAAGCGAGCATCTTCACACAATGAACACGATTTTGAACCCCATTTGCTGTAGGCCATTTCGAAAAGAGTTACGCTTGCTAGACGATCCACCTAAAGTAAATTTTTTTTTATTTTTTGTAAATGTTTGAATGCAGTGATAAGTAATGTGGATATTTAAGTTTATTTACCTCACCAAAGGCAACGCCAGGAACGTATAGAGCACATACTAAATGCACCCATTTACCTACATCAGTTTCTTTGAATATTCCTCCTTTGTTGGGACACAATTCACATGACGGATTTTCAATTCCTGCGCTACAAGCTTCACAGAACCAAGGTGCGGACTGACACAATGAATCTGTGCTTGAAAAACTTTCAACATCTGATACTCCATAGCATCCTGAAATTATATCAAAATATATATTTAAATAGTCCGCCATATATAAAGACAATTATTATTATAAGTATTTATTTATTTAATTATTAAAACATCTAAAAAATTTTTATAACAATTAAATAATTTTGAAAACAATTACACATATAAAAATGTTCAAAAACTTCAAGTGCAAATTTTTAAAAATATTATTTTTTATCATACTTGATTTGTTATAAAAATTTCAAAAAATGTCAGATGTTTGTTGATTTAGGTATCATTTTTAAAAGTCCTCCCCAAAAATCAGTTCAAGATTTTGGAAATGAGATATAAATAAAAAAAATAATTGTTATTGAAATATATTTTATGTGCCTGACATATTATTTGACTTGATATCAGTGCACTCATATTATCCTATACTAGCTGTAACTCGCCCGCTCAGCTGGGCGCTTTATAGAATTGCATTTTTAGATCAAGACTTTAAATTTAAATTAAGTATTGTTTTGACTTGCACAGATTCCCAATTCTATCGTATTGGCATGCACCTTTTATCCATGTCATTATTCTAGTTAATATTCATTGTAAATTTAAATGTGCAATCATTATAACATTCCCGTGTCTTTTTTACAAAAATGAATAATAATTGATATGAAAAAAAAAATTTGTAATGAGCATTGAAAGTTTCAGTTAAATAAATTGCAGGTCTCATAAGTGAAGAAATCTGCCTGATTAAAATCGATTAAAAAAAATTAAGAAAATTTTGTCTCCGGCGTACTTATACAGTAAAATGAGTTGTTTAAATTAAATTTAGTATCATTAAATTGGTCATGACCTGCATTTGTGCCTTATCAACGTTTCATATGCTTTTCAGCAATCGTTAATTTATTGTGATAAGTTTTTGAAGTAGTTTTAAGTAGATTCAAATTTCGCGATAAACAAGATTTGATTATTTATTTATTTTTTTTTGTACATGTGAACGTGATTATACTTCAAAAATTAATTTACATAATTAAGAGATTAAGAAAAATTTTGTAACGGGTATATCCTTACTGTAAATTGATTTTGATATTTTTTCAATGATATTCATTTATGATTTAAATAATTGAAAGAATGAGAAAAATTTTGTGACGAACATATGATCATTTTAAAAGGAATTTTTAGAGTTGAATTTGGTATCATTAGAAAGAATTAGTGCCTTTGACAAAAATTAGGGCCTTTTCACGATTTTATATATTTTTCAGTGATAGTAAATATTTTTATGTGAAATTTTTGGAGCAAATTTTAATAGTTTGCTCATTCTACAAATGTGTTCCGTCAAATTTGTCCATTAAATTATTTGTAATTGATCTTGACATATTAATGATACTAAAGTTAGCTGACAACTGGTAATTTTTTTAATTTTTATAAAAAATCAATTGTAATAAAAATTTCCACTAGTAATTTTTTTTAATTTTCAAATGTGGAATTTCTTCATTAAATTTTTTTTCATAATAATTTCATTGCTATAAATATATAAAAAAAATTCTAATTTATTGTCATGTCATTAATAATTAAAAAATTAATTTATTACTACTCTGAATATGCTCTCAGACTTAAACTTTATATTTATTTTGCCTTAATTTTTTTTTAACTCAATTTTTTCCTGCTAGTGCGTGTGTTTTTTATATAAAAATTTTACTTGAAGCATTGCTAAATTTCTAGTAAATGTTTAAGTATTTTTGTTATTTTATATTAATAATTTACAATTTGTAAATCTCGGAATTACAAGTAACCGCAGCTTGCTATTAGTTAATAAATAAATAAACAGGCTCAAAAATTTTCTTTAAAAAAAACAAACTCCAATAATTATAAATTGTTCATTAATCAAAAAGAGCTAGAAAGAGTTAAATATTGCAAATATCTGGGTCTTTACTTCGACAGTCATATGAAATGGAATAAACATACTCTTGAACTAGGTAAAAAAATTAAATATTTTACATATCTATATTATAAACTTTGCCACTGTCTTCAGCTTACAACTATGAAAACAATTTATCATGGTCTTTTTGAGAGCTTAATTAATTATGGAATTTTAGCCTGGGGTGGGGCATATGAAAACGCAGTAAAACGTATAACTACTATCCAAAATAAAATAATTAAAAAAATCTTTATAAACAATCACCATACTACGCCTCTTAATTTTAGGGAAACTTTTATTGTATATGCTTTAACTAAATATTATAAACATTGTAAATCTCTGTATGATGAAAGACCACTAAATACTCGTGCAAAACTTATACCTTTACCTAAAATTAATAAGTCTATCAGCACAAAAAATGCTCTGTATGTAGCAATTAAATATTACAATTTACTTCCTAATAAAATGAAAATGTTAAATTGCTCCATGTCAACACTACGTAAAAAACTTAGGGCCTGGTTAAAATTTAATAATGTTTAGGCATATAAATAATTGAAAAACCGTAATTATTGAAATTGTTAAAATTTGATATAATAATGTACTTATTACTTTGTAGTTAAATAATTTATTTTTTTATTCAATATGTTGTAATTATGTTTAAATATGTATTCCTTCTGGTTCTATGTACAGGTGTGTACCACCTCTATAGAATCACTACCAGAAGTAAAATGATAAATAAAATAAATAAATAAATTACCTTCATGAACTGTTACTCCACATCCATCACACTCAACAATTTCATTAATATCATCACTTCTGTCTCCTAAACAACCACAGCAAATAAGCATTTTGGCTAATTTTTCATCTAAAATCTCCCCCTTGGCAGCTTGTTGTCTCGCTTTCTCAATAATATCATTAACAGTCACACCAGTATTATTTTTTCCAACCATCAATGGATCTCCCATTGAATCATCGGATTCATCTGACCCTGCGTTGTCTAAAACAAGACAGAAAAAATAAATTATCATGAATATTAAATAAATTAAAATTTTTATTTACCTTTGCCATCATCATGAGAGTCAACAGAATCATCATCAGATTCTTCACAATGATCTTCAATGCGGAAATCACTATCATCAGAACTTTCTCCCAAATCAAAATCTAACAATGAAGTTTGTGCAGATTCGACCGGTTTCACTCTACGCTTTTTTGGATCTCGTTCGACTGAAAAATTTTCATTATTAAAACATAAATTGATATTTATATTTTCATAAATAAACATTTGAGATAATTATACTTACTCATGGTCTTGTATAAAAATCCCACGTCGTCTTCTTGAGACATTTTTATCACTCAAATTTTAATGTCTATTTTTAACTATCAATAAATATAATACATTATAACCAAAAGCGTGATTGGTTCTGCAAAAAAAAAAAAATATAAATATATATTGTTAACTTAAAGTATTTAATAATAAAAATAAAATAATTTGTAATACCTTATCTCTTAAATTTCCATGATTTTTATTGCACCGTATGATCATTAACTCCGAAAGTGAGTTGATTTTTTACAGAATAAAATATGTATGATTTATGAAACACAGACCAAAGCTTGGAAGTGGAATTGCTGAAAAGTATAGTGTATAGTAAGGGCAAGAGGAAGGGAAGGGAATAGTCAAATAATGTAATTATACCTATAGGTATAAATCTACTCAAATATATATGTATATATAGATATATATGTGTATTGCCGGCTTTTTAAAAATTATTCTGTCTCTTTTTTTTCAGAAAAAAATAATCTCCTGCAGAGTGTAACCGCAAACTTGATTACTTAGTTTGTAAATTATTACGGCAGTATGTGTTAAATATTTACGTAAAACTACAATCACTTTTTCACACTAAATTCAGATTAACAAAATTTAGAAATATTTTTTTTGATGAGAAAAATATCAAGCGTATCATCAGTTTTCTTTACCATCGTTCGGAAACTGAGCGCCATTTTGAAAAAGTGGGGATTTAAAATAAGTTTTAAAATCAGCTGACAGATAATTTTTTTTGACAATTCTAAAATTTTTTTTTTATATGAAAATTAATTTAGCAGATATTTTATAATTTTAAGAATTTTTTTTTACAAATAAATTATGTCAAAGAAAATGAGAAAAAAAATTGACTTTTAGAAAATTAAAAAAATAAAAAATCCAATTTTTTAGAAATAATTTTTCGGAGCAAATTTATTTATTAAAAAAATCAAAAAATTGTCAAGTGACCGCTAACTTTAATGTCACTTTTTTTATTTAAAAATTTTTTTTTTTACACTAATTATTTTTTAATTTTTTTAAAATGATGTTAAAGATAAAATATGATACTGAAACTGACAGACACTTAACTATTTGTAAGATATAATATTTATGACAACTTAATTAGATTAAAAAAAAATTATGATATTAAAATTAGCTGACACTTTTTTTTTTTTTTTTTCAACAGTTAAATTACAAGTAAAAAAATTGCACGTATAATTATTCAAATTTTTTACATGTGAAATTTTTTAGTTCAATTTTTTTATAGTAATTTTTTCAATAAAAAAAATTATAAGAATTTTCAAATGTCGGCTAATTTAATTTTTATAAAAAATTAAGTAAAAACGTTTCACGTGTAAAAAATAAAAGAAATTATAAGTGCGAATTTATAAAAATATTTTTTCTATAATAATTGTTTTGTTATAAAAATCTCAAGAATTGTTAGATGTCTGGTAATTTCAGTATCGTAGTAAGATTTATTTTAACTGAATTATAAGTTAATCTTACATGAAAAAAAAAGAAAAAGGCAGAAACTACGTTATAAATAGTAATAAGTGTCGCTTCAAATTTAAAACTGGAAAAATTGCAGTTCGAAACAATATTTTATTAATTTTAAGCTTTGAATGTTAATTTTCACAACTTTAAATGTAATATTTACATTTTACAATGTAATTCTTACAAAATTTGTAAAAATTATAATCCGAAAGAAACTATAATTTTTTATGATACTGAAGTTAGCAGACGTCTAATAAATTTTGATTTTTTTTATTAATTAAATTACAACTAAAAAAATATTTATGAAAAATTGCACTTATAGTTTTTCAAGTTCTTTACATGTGAAATTTTTTTTTAATTGTTTAATTGATATTATTTAAATAAAAAATTTTGAAATGTCGGCTAACTTCATTTTTATAATTTTTTCCTTCTTTTATTTTCTTTGTATGGGTTGTGTATTAATTTTTGAGTAAAAAAATACAAAATAAAAACTCGTTAGATTTTTTCATATTTGAAAAGATAGTTTTTATAGTTGTCCAAAAATAATTATTTTAAAAAGTTAAGCTTAAAAATAAAAGAAAAAAAAATTGATACGGAAATCAACAGACATTTATGAATTTTTTGGATTTTTCTAGCTACTAAATTAATATGAAAAAGAAAAATTTCACGTGTGAAAATTAAAAAAAATTATAAGTGGAAATTTTTTATAGCATTATTTTTATTGTAATTGATTGTTTATGGAAATTAAAAAATTTATTTAATTGTAATTGTAATTTGTTATAAAAACCTTAAAAATTTTTAGATGTCTGCTAAATTCAATACTAATATATATTACCACACTTTCCATTAAAAGTGCAACAATATCGTAATCGGAGCATAAAATTATAAATAAAGAAAGTTTTAAAAAAAAAAATGAAAATTAATTTAGCAGATATTTGATAATTTTTAAAATTTTTGTAATAAATTAATTATGACTCGAAAAAAATTATTTAAAAATTGACATGTAGAAATTGAAAAAAATTAAAAATGCAATTTTTTTAAAATAATTTTTTGGAACAAATTTTTTTGTTAAATAAAATTAAAAAATTGTCAAGTGTCGGCTAATTTGAATTTCATGTTTTAAAAACAAGTAAACAGGACTTATAATTAACATAAATTAAGATTGTTAGAATAACAATCTAAAGATATCATGTACTTAAAAGTACTTTAATTATTTATACACAACCTTCATAAAATTTTGTTTTATTTTTAGACAGTTAAATTAAGAAAATATCAAATTTTCAAAATTTGACCAGAAATTTGAATCACGCGCCACATGCGCGCTTTAATATTAACCAATAAAGAATCATGGCCCGTTTTTTGTGAGTTTTGACCTCGGTGAGCGGAATTTATAATTATCTTGCTCATAACTTGAGTAACCATCAGTAGATAACTCAACAATACATTTACGTAGTAATTTATATATATAGACAGTATTTTTTTTTTTATTTCGTCGAATGAATTATCACTTTTTGATTCAAATAAAAACAATATTAACTATGAAATTTATAATTATTGTTGGTGATTTTTATAAATGTCATTTATGAAACATTATTTTGAATATAGTGATCAGTTATCTGTTACAGTGGATAAAAGATAAGGAATCTAATATTCAATTGAATTAATTATAGGTTATTGTATGGTATGTACAATTTAAATCTTGTATTATTTAATAAATAAACAAATGAATAAATAGAACAAAATTTTTTTACAATTAAAATGACAATAAAGTTAGATAATACTAAAGTTAGCCGACATCTAAAAATTTATAGAATTTTTTTTATTGAAAAAATGATTACAAAAAAATAAAAAAAAAATTTCACTTGTCAAAAACTTTAAAAACTGTAAGTACAATTTTTTAAAAATATTTTATTGTTGTAATTTAATTTAAAAAAATAAATCAAAAAATTAAAAATGTCGGCTAACTTAATTTTCATTAAAGTTAGCAGACGTCTAAAAACTTTTGATTTATTTTTATTAATTAAATTACAACTAAAAAGATATTTATAAAAAATTGCACTTATAGTTTTTCGAGTTTTTTACATGTGAAATTTTTTTTTTAATTGTTTAATTGAAATTTTTTCAATAAAAAAATTTCTAAAAATTTTTTAATGTCGGCTAACTTTATTTTCATACAATTAAATTAATGACTTAAAACAAATAATTCACTACAATTTTCATTTTAATAATAATAATTTTAATATCTTGATTCTTTATTTTTTCTAGTTTTCTCTACAATATTTTTTTGTTGATAATTATGAACTTACTAGACTATTCTAACTATTTTTCTATTTTTAACCTAATAATTGTAAAAATTATAATTGCATCTGATTATATGATGCATCAGCGAATTTATTTATTTTAATTTTTTAATTTACCATTTAAAATTTTTTGGTAAGATCTATAATATTTCAACTTTTTTTTTGTTTACAAAAAATTTATTAACGCTCTTTAATCTATCTAAATCGTTTGTTATTATTTTTATAAATAAAAAAAAAACATAAATTAAATTACAACTGATGAATATTTTTGTTTTAAAAAATCACTCTTTTTTCTGTAGGTTAAAATTGAATAAAAATAAATAAATATAAATTTAAAATTAAAATATTTAATATAAATTATCTGTGGTGTGGTTAAAAATATTTTATTAAAGTTAATGGATCATCAAAATAATACGGTAATATATTTTTTTCAATTTAGAATATCAAAAAAATATTTATTTTATTTTACCACATTAAAATTATTTTATTTTTATTTTTATTATTAATTAAATAACATTTTTTATAATCATAATAAAATAATAAATATTTAATATTTTTCAGGCAAGCTCATCAAAAAAACGCCGACGCAATAGCAGTAGTGACACTAATTTATCTGGAACAAAAAAATTTATAATAGACAAAACAATTCTAATACTTGAGGCCGATATGTTTTGTTGGGGCAGCACAGTTCACGGTGAGTTGGGCCTAGGTGGTATAGAAGAAGAAATAATAAATGTACCTAGAGAAGTAACTGACTTTAAACAAGCTACTGAGATAAAAGACATTGCTTGTGGTAATAATTACACAGTTGTTATTACTCAAGACGGTAAAATTTACTCTTGCGGTAATAATGACAGCGGACAATTGGGACATGATAAACCTAGGAAGAAATTACAACTGGTATCAGACCTTGAAGCTTTTGTATTCAAAAAAGCGGTCTGTGGTGCTAGTCATACGTTAGCGATAAACGAGTGGGGTCAACTATTCAGTTGGGGATGCAATTCTGATGGTCAATTAGGTAAGTTTTATTAATACTTAAATTACCCTAGTAACATTGGTTTTGGACAGGATTCTTTGGCCAGATAGTTGACCAAGCCCTGGAAACAGAATCGGACAATTCTTGAGCCAGACAGTTAACCAAGATTATTTGTCCAGACTGGCGACAGACTTGGACAAGATTTAAAAACATAATCTGGAGCAATACTTGATCAAGTTTAGTGACAAGTCTGTGGTCAGAATTTGTCCAGATTTTTGGTAAAGAAGTTTCACCCAGACTTGCGCGAGAAACGAAAAAGACTAACAGTGCGCATTGTTATTGTACTGAAATAAGAATGAGAACTTCTGCCTTGACAACTAAGTCTCAAAAAGTGGTGGTAGGAAGCCCCTCCATTTCTGGCCATTTTCTGGACGAATTTTGGCTTCAGTCTTGCCCAAGAATCTTGGTCAAATATCTGGAGCGATTCTTCGAAGGTTCTTGAAGAATGATCTGCCGTAAGCTTCTTGTCCAAGAATAATTGTAAAAATCTGTATACAGATACTTTATCACGATTCTTTAGCCAGACTGGGCCAAGACTTGGACCAAATTGCTATTAGGGCTATTTTTATTATTTTAAAGCTTATAATTTTTTTTTATTGATAAAAAGTATTAAAATAATTTTCTAGATAAAAAAAAATTATTGTGTTGGGACAACGAGCAGAAAGTGTGTTCTAAAACATGAGCGTAGAAAGTGAAAATTTTATATCTTTAGTTTAATATATAAACGAACTAGTTTTTTTTTTTTTTTTTTAATTATTCTGACTATTAAAATTGTGATTTATTTTAGTAATTTTAATAATTCAAAAATTTAGTTGTCGAAACAAAAAAATACTGCGCTCCATCTTTGAATGGGTAGTAAGCATCTAATTATTTTATCATTTTATTTTAATAATTTTTACTTGAAAATTATTCATCAAAAATTGTATTTATAGTTTTTAAAAATTTTCTGGGTAATTTTTTATCTAAATTTTTTTTGTGATAATTTGCTTAAGAAAATCATAAGATTCAGTTTTATAAATTAAGCATAATTGTTTATTTTATTTATTACTTATATCCTGTTTTTTATGTTTGATAGGTTTAAGTTCATTTGTACCTGTACAAGAGACACCGCGGATGGTGAAAACTCTAGCTACGAGCATAGTTATTCAAGTATCTTGTGGTTATAAACACGCGGTAGCTCTTACAAATAATGGAAAACTTTATTCCTGGGGCTTGAATGATGAAGGTCAGCTGGGTATTGGTCCGGAATCTAAGATTGAACATAAGCCAAGATTAATTAAATGTCTTGAAGCTGTTCCGATTGCTTATGTTGCTTGTGGAGGATATCATACAATAGTAGTTTCTAAGTCCGGTAAATTTATTTATTTATATTTTTTTTTTTAATTTAATTGTTTACTTTGAAAAAAAAATTTTTTAAGTAACAAATAATCATTACTTGATTTAACAATATTCTTATAATTAAGAAATTAATTCTGATCATCTCGGAAATTTAAGATTGCATTTTTATGCTCATCATCTTTTTTTTTATTTTCCAAAATTCTGAGCATAAATATTAAAAATTTTTTTATTTTATTGTAAAAAAATGATAAATTTATTATTCATACATAAAATACAATTCTTTTATTAACTTTTAATTAATAACGATACAAATTTGTATTAAAGTTAATGAAACTAGATTTTTTTTTAACAAAAAATATTAAAATTAATTTAATTAAAAAAAAATATTTGTTTAAATTTTAAGATGAACAATTTAATATTAAAATTTAAATCTAAAAAATTACTCTTCGCTCTGAACGCTTATTTATTTATCAAAAATATGTAATTTATTGAGAATTAAGTTCTTAAAATTCCACCTTTGACGCTGGTTATATTTTTTTCAGAACAAATAAAATATTCAGTCAATGATTAAATTTATTAACAGGCACAAACTTCTTAAAGATTTTTATAATTTATAATTTACTAGCAATCTTGCAGTCACTATGTGACTGCCGTGACTTGTGATCTATAAATAAATAAAATTTTTCTTTATTAGATAATGACTTTTGTTAAATTGCACTGTACTTTCTTAACTATTGACGTTTTTAAAGATATAAGCTCATCCCTATGTTACTCTCATCAAGAGCTTTCATTTGAGTACCCACATGCATTTTGATATATTTTTCATATATATATATTAGGGTGGTCGTTAAAAATTAAATTTTTTGCGGCGCCCAAAAAAATCCTTCCTTAGGACGAGAAACTACGGGAAAAATTTTACTTTTTGATTTTGAACGAAATTGAAATTTTTCAATTGAAGATTTTTCGATAAAATTATAGTTTTTTGAAATATTTGTTACGGTATTCAAATTTGGACAAGAAATCATGAAAAAAAGCTTGTAGGAAATTAAATTCTCTACAAAAGGGCTTCTTTCGTTTTTAGATGAAGCTCATATCTATCGAGATAATCTTATTAATAAACTCAAACTCCAGTAAGTCAGTCATTTTAGCACTGAAAACTTTATTTTTCCAGAAATATGAACAATTTTATAACTTCAATTTACAATAAGTTATTTAAATAGGTCTCGTAAATGATAACAAAGTTATATTTGATATTATTTCCTTATTTTCAAAACGAAAATGTGTAAATTGATTTCTCATAAATTGGTTTATAAATTCCAAGGTCTAAGTAAGCTTTCTTTTGTATTTTTTATGTTTCGAGCTCTGTAATCATCCAAAATTTGAATATTAAACTGCTTCTGATCTTCATCTTTCGTGAACAAATCATTGTATTCTTGCATTAATTTTACATCGCGTTCAGCAACATCGTTCACAACTGGTAAATTATTTACAGCATTCAAACAGATCTGATAATTTATATTTTCTTGCCAGTTTTCACAATCGATTGACAACTTCTAATCAATTGACATAAAACTGTCTTCTGTTGCTTTAAAAAAAATTTTGATTCATTTATGGTACCTAACTCCAAAAAACTGTTTGATGGCATTATTCGATGACGGTGTTGATAAAGAAACGAAAAAAAAAAATGGTTCAAAAATTGTTCGATACTTCTAATGATGAACTTAATTCTTCAGATGACCGTCGTCAAATCAATAATTCAAAAAAATTGGCAAAAGCTGAAAAAGATGTATCAAAATTATTCGACCAAGGATTAGAACAGTTCGTTAATCCTTTTTCAATAAATTTCTTTCTTCAACTGTGTTTGAATGCAACTTGGTTGAAAGATGATTGTGAAAACTAGCAAGAAAATAGAAATTATCAGACCTGTTTGAACGCTGTAAATAATTTACCAGTTGTGAATGATGTTGCTGAACGCGGTGTAAAATTAATGCGAGAATACAATGATTTGTTCACGAAAGATGAAGATCAGAAGCAGTTTAATATTCAAATTTTGGATGATTACAGAGCTCGAAACATAAAAAATACAAAAGGAAGCTTACTCAAACCTTGGAATTGATAAACCAATTTATGAGAAATCAATTTACACATTTTCGTTTTGAAAATAAGGAAATAATATCAAATATAACTTTGTTATCATTTACGAGACCTATTTAAATAACTTATTGTAAATTGAAGTTATAAAATTGTTCATATTTCTGGAAAAATAAAGTTTTTAGTGCTAAAATGACTGACTTAATGGAGTTTATGAGTTTATTAATAAGATTATCTCGATAGATATCAACTTTATCTAAAACCGAAAGAAACCCTTTTCTAGAGAATTTGAATTCCTACAAGCTTGTTTTAATGATTTCTTGTCCAAATTTAAATACCGTTACAAATATTTCAAAAAACTATAATTTTATCGAAAAATCTTCAATTGAAAAATTTCAAATGCCCGTCGGCACGTGTTCTTTTTGTTTAAAATCAAAAAGCAAAATTTTTCCCGTAGTTTCTCTTCCTCAGGAAGGATTTTTTTGGGCGCCACAAAAAATTTAATTTTTAACGACCACCCTAATAAATATATATAAAATATATGAAAAATTGATGTAGGTACTCGAATGAAAGGTCTCGATTAGTGTAACATTAAAATGAGCTTATATCTTTAAAAATGTCAATAATTAAGAAATTTTATTGTATTTTGTCAACTTATGATATTTTTAAAGATATAAACTCATCATGATGTTACACTCATAGAGACCTTTCATTTGAATACGCACATGTATTTTGATTTTTTTTTCATGTATACATATATGTAATATATATAAATATATACAATATATAAAAAATTGATGTGGGTACTCAAATGAAAGGTCTCAATGAGTGTAATGTAGGGGTGAGCTTATATCTTTGAAAATGTCAATACTTATCATCTTAAATTAATTATCGGTGAGAATGATATGAAACGTTGAAAAGGCACAAATTCAAATCAAGATCTTTGCAATGACACTAAATTTCACTTAAAAAAACCGATTTTATCATATGACTATCCTGGAGACAAATTTTTCTTATTCTCTTAATAATATAAATTAAATATTTTATTATATTACAGGTTCTATTTATGCTTGGGGTAGAAATACATTCGGGCAATTGGGAGTGAATTGCACTCAAAGTTCAAGTTTGCCATGCCAATTGCGAACTTTAAGGAATTCCAAAGTAAAACACGTAGCTTGTGGTGAAGACTTTTCGGCTTTTCTTACAATGGTATTTTTACTTTAATTTATAAAAACTAATTCATAGCAAAAACTACTTTACTGTTTTTTTTTATTTTCCAACAGGACGGTGGAGTATTCACTTGTGGCGCTGGTACATACGGGCAGCTAGGACACGGCTCTGCAACAAACGAAATTCTGCCTCGTCAAATAATGGAACTTATGGGAAGTGTAGTCACACAAATATCGTGTGGTACACGACATATGTTGGCTTTGATTCCTTCAAGAGGTCGAGTATACGCTTGGGGTCTTGGCGGCGCTGGTCAACTTGGAATAAAGACCACACGAACTGTTACAACTCCTCAGGTTGTACTTGGTCCCTGGGTATCGCCAAATGGTACATCAATTTATCAAAGTGGTGCTCCTACAAGTGAATACAGCATTGATTGTGTTGTTAAACATATATTTACTGGCGGTGATCATTGTTTTGTTACTGTTACTAAACGAGAGGTATTTTATTTTTTATTATTTCAATTATTCTAGTCATAAGAACTAATTATCTATTATTATTATTATTATTATTATTATTATTATTATTATTATTATTATTATTATTATTATTATTATTATTATTCTGTAAAAAATCAGAAACAAAATTCGGAATTTACATTTTTCTTTAAACATTTAATTTTATCAAAATAATAATCATAATAATAATATTAATAATAATGATAATAAAAAATAATTTTTAAGTATTAAAATTTGTCATTATTGTTAATTTTACTATTATTGATATTATAATTATTATTATTATTATTATTGTCCTGTAAAAAAAATCAGAAACAAAATTTGCAATTTACATTTTTCTTCAACTATTTAATTTTATCAAAATAATAATAATAATAATAATAATAATAATAATAATAATAAATTTATTTCAGGTTAGCACCATTGCTATTTTCATTTACATATATTTAATATTAAAATTTAAATAATTTACAACAATAATATTCTAAACAGATTTATAATTAATACAATGTAACTGTTATTAGAGTCTCCAACAATATCACACGACAATATCACACGATGTATTCTTTTAGAGCCCGTTTAAAACTATCTAGAGTTTTCTCATTTTTGATTTGCTCTGGTAAGTCATTGAATCATTGAAAACCCTAGTATGTAATCGATTTCTCGGTTTCGTGAGTTCTTGTATGATTTATTAGTAATTTAGATCTATTTCTTGTTTGATAATTATGTTTATCACTTACTCTTAATATTTTGTTTTGTAAATAATTAGATGTTAGATTATTTAACATTTTAAAAATCATAACAATAGTGTTAATATATTTCACTCTTTGCCTGATCGATATTCATCCCAGAGTTTCCAACATCAATTTAATTCGTGTGTATTTGTGTGTAATAATAATAATAATTTTAACAACAATAATGTTGAATAATTTTTTAATATTAAAATTATTTATTTTTTTTTTTTTTCAGAGTAATATTCCATCAGATGATAGCAGGATATTCGATCCTTCAACACAGATTCTTACTGTAACTGAAGAACAACTATTATTTTGTCAAAAAGTACCTATGGGCGCACCATTAGATCATGATCTTATGATGTCAGTAAACTTAAATAAATTAAACTTATTATTAACGCTAAAAATACATGATTAATTTAAATAATTAATTTACTTGTTGTATGAAATAGGTATTTAGAGACAGTTTTCCGTAGCCAATCGTCTATAAATGGATCCTTTTTACTCGACAATGATCAACATTATGGATGTTCAAGTAAACACTCTGGTGTGGATGTCGTAAAAGCTTCTAGACTTTTTGGAATTATTTCTGATTTTCAAAATAATACAATACAAGAACTGGTAAATTTTCTATATTTACATTAATAATTATTGATTTACTTACAATTAAAATAAATTATTGAATTTTAAATATAAAATTTAATAATTAAAATTTTTAATTTTTTTTTTTAATAAAAAAGGCATCGATTTGTTTAATAACTGTAGCGCTAATTTATTTATTAAAAATTTTTAATTAATCTTTAATTTTTGAAGCTAAAAATATTTTAATTGAAATGCTTCAATTAAAATTCCACAATTGCACTTAAATTAAAATATTTAGAATCGTATTTTTAGTTAAATAATTAATTAACTTTAAATTAAATTGATCTATGCCCAGCATTAAATTCAATAATAATTATAGCGGCATTCAAAAAATTTGATAATATTCCAAAAAATTTTGTAGACAATGACCATTACTTCTTTTAATCTTATTTATATGAAAATGTATCTACAAAAATTTTTACATTACATTAATCTTATTACTAATTATAAACAAAATTTGTGCCAGAAATTTTTCTAATTTAATTTCAATTATTTTTTTCAATTTTTACTTATTCTAGATTTTCACATCTATTATCGATGGATTGATACCATCGTTAGCTGCATCGCCACCAGACGTTGAAGCTTTAAGAGTTTACCTTACTCTACCACTGTACCATGGTTTCACCGAGCCAACACACTGCGAATCTCTTCAAAGACCTTTTGCCAAAGCTCTGAACAACTTGAAGCCCGAAGCTAAAAAAATAGTTGGTATTTGGTGGAGCAAAGCACCTGTTCAAGTCTTTTACAGACTGATAAGATCGTATAAAGCTATTATTTTACTTATTATGAAACAAACCAAAAATATTGACAATATGGTAAGTAATTTTTCTTTTTTATTTCACAATGATATTTCACGTGACAAATACCAAAAAGGCGTACAAAAAAATTTTTTTTTTACTAATTAACTCCAAATTGTCGAAAACTTCAACATTAATAGATTAGGGGTAAGAGCCCCCGTTATTGACACTATAAAAGTGATTATGAATATTTGAATTTTTTTATCGTGTTTCAAATCAATATTGTCAATTTTTTTTTATAGGGCATCTTAATCATTGTTTTTACTTATATAATTTAATTAATTAACTTTAATAGCAATAAATTTAATAATTATTATATAACTTAAAACCAACAGGTCGAATGTATGTATTATTGACAGCGCAAAAAATTCAAAGAGCCGATTATTGACCTACCATTGACTCTATTATTGACAGGTCTTTTATCACAGTTAAATTTATATTAACAATAATCATTTTTACTAACTAATGCAAAACTATCAATAATTTTTATTATTTTAAGATTCGATTAAGACCTAGCTTATCTATATTTTTTACCAGGTTTTTTTTTAGCAATTTTTTCTAGTCTCAAATACTTTGATTTTTATAAAATCACATGACAGTATGTAAACATAAATATGTTGATCTGAATGTTGAAGGAGTTAAGTTACCTTATATTATGACCTATGTCGTTAGTTGACGCAAGTTAATTTCAAAGTCCCCATCATTGACATCCGCTATTTTAAAATTAATTTTAACTCGATAAAGTATAAATAAATGATTATATGGTTATTTAGACTATAAATAATCTAAAATAATTTTAACCAATGCAATTACATAAAAAAAACAATGAGAAATCTGGATTTGAAAATAAAGTTTTTCTTAACAATGTTGTTAAGAAATTACAAACGTCTAAGCAGTTTTGGTCGATTTGAAAAAATGAAATTTTTTCGTGTAAATAGTTTATACCTTGGAATTAAATTTTACTATATTTAATTTTAAAAATATGTAAAATTTTCATGAAATATCACCAATTGTGATTATTAACAGATTATAATAATGAAATAATAAAATTAAATAGGGTGTCGACAGTGGGGGCCCTGTAAATGATAGGGGCTTTTACCTTATTTTATTATATATTTATTTTTTTTAATAAAATAATATTTTATATTTATTTTATTATATTTTAGAATTTTTTAGAATTTTCACCCTTAGAGCCATTAAAAAATATATATTTTGATAAGGGTGATTCTCTGTAAGGATGTCTTAAATCTGTACAAAATTTTCCGACCAAATTATTTTTGATTTTATTAGAAAAAAAATTAACAAGGGCTACAAAATTATCAGCTTAATCATAATAAATAAACAGCCGAATTAATTTTTGCTTTTTCGATATTTGTGTATCTTTTGCCATATAACATGACAGGGGACTGCTTGCCAGGGGACTGTTTTTTTTATCAAATTGAGAAAAATCAAGCAAACTATTTCAATGCATTCAACTTTTCAAGTTCTCAATGAATGTTTCCATTAATTAGAATAAAATTAAGACTTAAAGATCCAATTTTATAAATAAATTATAAATAAAAATAGTTGCCAGGGGAGTAAGTTTTGGAATGGCCCAGACACACATTTTCAGCACAAACGGTGCTTTGACACTAAATAAAATTGCGATAAAGCGCTAACAGCCCTATGGTTATTAACTCAAGGCTAGTTAGATCCTTATAAAACTTACAAAAGGTAAAATAACACGCTGGATTTTTTTTTTTGGCTTTGAACTTCTGGCAGGGGACTGTTCTTAAAATGCCTGGGACAAACTTTAGTCTAATGAATTTAATGAAACAAATTAATTTTCGGTACTTTTCATTGAAGAAGATTGTTAGTTAACTAATTAAGTTTATAAACATTATGGACCAAATTATATATTATAGACGAATAATTTAAGATTTAATCTTAAAGTTTTAATTTTGGGAGTGGGACAGCCCAGGGGACTGTTATTTCGGTGGTTTACGAATTTATAGCAAAAAAACCAAAATTTATTTCATTCTAGTTTTCAATGCTCCAAATAGAAATGTTTTTTTACTTTCGTAATAAAATTTTTTTAGTAACAAAATAACAATTTTTCTAATAAAAAAATGCCAGGGACAGCAAAAAACATCCTTATAGAACATCACCCATGTACGTTTTTTGAAATTAAAAATTTTTCTTAATTTCTTAACTCAAAAAATCCTTGCAAAATGATTGGAAAAAAAAACTTTTTTTTATCCGCCATTTTTGGCATTTGTCACACGATTTAATTTTCTAAAATATTTTTTTTACATCCACAGCATTTCTCATCAGACTCAACGTTAAAATTAAGTCTAGAATTATTAAAATTCATAAATAAATTAAATCAAACAGAAAATGAAGGTCTTCGTGTGCCTTACGATGTATTTCATTTGCCAGAATTAACAACTCTAATTGATATAAGAACAGATTATATAAAATGGCTTGGTAATGCCGATTCAAATTCTGTTGGCGTAGCATTAATCTGCAATTACTCATTTATATTCGACGCAGAAGCTAAATTATTGCTGCTTGAAACAGATCAGGCAATACAAATGCACTCGGCAATGAATGAAGCAGCAACACGAGCGTTTACAAATGTTATGTTCAATGCATTTCTGCCCACTGATGCTCGTCAAACGTCGCAATTTTTAATGTTAAATGTATCACGTGAAAATATTGTCGTAGATACTCTCCGTGAATTAACCTCACAGAATTCAAGTGACTTGAAGAAGCCATTGCGTGTTAAATTTCACGGTGAAGAAGCTGAAGACGCGGGTGGAGTTAAGAAAGAATTTTTTATGTTACTATTAAAAGAAATTTTAGATCCAAAATACGGAATGTTTAAACAGTACGATGAAACAAGAACTATTTGGTTCAGTGAAGATTCATTTGAAGATGAAATGATGTACTTTTTAATCGGTGTACTCTGTGGGCTTGTTATTTATAATTTTATTATAATTAATCTACCATTCCCGTTGGCATTGTACAAAAAATTATTAAATGAGCCAGTTAATCTTGCTGATCTTAAAGATTTATCGCCTGTTCTTGCTAAAAGCTTGCAAAGTATTTTAGATTACAATGAGCCAGATTTAGCGGATGTCTTCTCGTTAAACTTTGAAGTTATCCGTGAAGTATACGGAGAACAAAAAGTCTATGAACTGATACCAGGTGGCAGTAAAATAGCTGTTACGTTGGAGAATAAACAAGAATTTGTTAACTCGTATGTTGATTATATATTTAATAAATCTGTTGAGTCTCACTTTAAAGCATTTTACAATGGATTTCATAAAGTTTGCGGTGGCCGTGTGTTAAAACTATTTCACAGTCATGAATTAATGGCTGTTGTCGTTGGACATGAAAATTATGATTGGAAAGAATTGCAAGACAATGCCATCTACAAAGAAGGCTATACCAAAGATGACCCAACTATTGTTATGTTTTGGCAAATATTTCATGAACTGCCGTTGGAAGAAAAGAAGAAATTTCTTCTTTTCTTGACTGGTAGCGACCGAATACCTCTGCAAGGCATGAAAGCTATCAAAGTAAGTTCATTTTTAGGTTGATTTTTTAGAAATTGAGCTATTGAGACCGGTCTTATGTTGCAATTTTAAGAAAATTTTGTCATGTGCTGAGAAAAATTTTTTATATATAATAATAAATAACCATATGTAAATATATCGCGTTACAGATGCCATAAGGGCGTATAAAAATTATACACTCTTATGGCACCCGGAAACCATGAGGGCGTATGACAATGAAGTTAGCTGACATTTCAAAATTTTTAGAAATTTTTTTATCCAAAAAATTTCAATTAAACAATTAAAAAAAAATTATCACTTGTTAAAAAATTAAAAAACTATAAGTGCAATTTTTTAAAATATCTTTTTAGTTGTAATTTAATGAAAAAAAAAAATCAAAAAATTTTAGACGTCTGCTAACTTCAGTGTCATTGAGGACGTATAATAAAAATTCTATTTTTTATTCTGTCAAAAAAAATTTTTAGTTTAGAAACAAATTTTTTTTCTTGCATTTCTGCACATTTCGGTCGATTCCCGAAAGAAATTTTTTTTTACGCCCTTATGGCTTTTTACAGGGACCTTTTGCCGATATACGCCTTTATGGCGTCTGGAACGCGATACGTAATTATATATAAATATATCGCGTTACTAAAACCAAAAGGGCGTATCTCAAAATATACCTTTAGGTTTTGCAAAACCAAAAAGACGCATAAAAAATTTTTTTTTCTCCAATTAACGAGGGAATTTATTAGAGTGAAAATCTTGTTAAAAAACGCAAAAAATTTTTTTCTCAACATACGCCCTTTTGACTTTAAGAAAAAAAATTTTTAAAACCAAAAGGGCATGTATAAAAAAAATAGCCAAAGTAGCTTCTAAGAACCTTAAAATGTCGAGATCAAACGAAAAATTGATTTTTGGAAGTGAGACTGAAAACATTAACACATCCCAATTTCTTTAAAATTCAGTAAAAAAAATTAGAATAAAATTTTTAATTTTCTAACAAAAATTGATAATTTCAAAAAATTCGACTGTGATAGTATTCTCAGTTCAATTTTCAAAAATCATTTTTTCATTAGATCTTGACGTTGAGAGGTTCGTAGATGTTACTTTGACTAATTTTTTATATATGCCCTTTTGGCTTTAAAAATTTTTTTTCTTAGTCAAAAAGGCGTATGTCGAAAAAAAAAAAAAAACTTTTTTTACGTGTTTCAACCAGATTTTTAGTTTTATACATTGCCTAGATAATTGGAGAAAAAAAAATTTTAGATCAAAAAATTTTGGTTTTAATAACGTGATATTTAATTTCTGTAAATTGCATCTGAAAGCTTATTTAACAAGCTTTAATTTGCATACGTATTTATTTTTTTTTTAATTAAATAGTTTAGGAATGACAGAAATTTGAATCCTTAAAAATTGTCACTCTTACTGTTTCTTTGCGAAATAACTAATGAATGCGATACCTCGTAAAATTTTTGTAAATTGCATCTGAAAGCTTATTAAATAAACTTTAATTTGCATACCTCACCATCAGTCTAGGCCAAAAATTACTTACTCTCTTTGTCTATTTAATGGAATTTTACTCTTGCATTCGTTTTGGAAATGATTATTTTAGTAATTGTTGAATTTACTATGAAATCTACTTCCATTTCGGCTGCCGAATGGTCTTTTTTATTTATCATATTAAAAACATTGCTGTAATAATAAATAAATATTTCTTCCAGATTACAATACAACCAATGACTGATGAAAAATTTTTACCGGTTGCACACACTTGTTTCAATTTATTGGATTTACCTCGTTATCAAACAAAAGAGCGGTTACGATACAAATTGTTACAAGCGATACAACAAACTCAAGGATTTTCATTGGTATAGAATCGAAGATCAGTACAGTACGTACTTGCCACATTAACTTAATAAATTTATACATATATATATTATATATATATATATTTTTTTTTTTTGTTATAATTATTTCTTCTATTAAAAACAGCATAATTGAATCTTCAAATATTTTTTTGTAATTTCTTTTTTTTTTTTTTAAATTAAGTATTTAATAATTGGGCGGGCCCAATAGTAATTGACATACGGATGTAAATTTTAAAATTTATTTTTGTTGGATTTCTTAGAATCTCACAACGACTAGAATATCAATGAATACTTAATAATTCAAAAATAATGTACAGTTACGCTTAATATGTAAATTTTTTAAATTTTTCCATTAAAAACGGATCATGTGCCTTTGCTTAAAAAAATAATTAGTAAATTTGTTTGCATTTGTTGACGATTGGTAATTTATATGTTTAATTTTAAGTATCAAAACCGATAAAAATTTTTTTTTTTAGTTAATTTTCGCTCGCGCATAAATTATTTAAGAACCAAAAAATGTAACTTTGCTATAGCAGATAAATAAAATTTATTCTTTTATTGTAATTACCTTTTGATAATTTTTTTATTAGGTAGATTTCTTTAGAAATCTATCTGTTGTAGCCGGTCTCATGTCGTAATTTTAAGAAAATTTTGTCATAATATGTTTCATTTCATCGAGTAATGTCGAAAAATGGCATTGGCTGAAAAGTTTATATATGTATTTATGTGATATAACGCGCCATGTAAGCAGAATTGCGCCCACAGTTCTCAATCGATCTTTATGAAATTTTGTAGGCTCATTCTGTGGATCAATACTAAGATCAAGTTCGAAGATGAGCAAAATCGGCCGGTTAGTTTACGAGTTGTGGGTGTTTGAAAATTTTTTTCCTTTTCAAAAAATTTTGGATTTTGTATATTTTGTGAAAATAATTTTCCAGATGTAAAAGATAGATTAAATCTATAAAATTTATCTCAAACTTTATTTAATCATCTTGAATTTAAGCCATCATTCGTCTAGTTTTGATGATTTTTTAAATTAATTCCATGATTTTGAAAATTTGAAAAAATTTTTTAATGAACTTATTTCGGCCTTTTTTCCTTAAATAATTTTTAAGCCGTAAAAGTTATGACAATAAAGTTAGCCAACATCTAAAAATTTTTAGAATTTTTTTTATTGAAAAAAATTTTACGAAAAAATTTTAATTAAAATCGGTCTCATATCGTTATTTACAAAAATATAAAAAAAAAAATAAATTTTAGGAGATTATTACCTTTTAATAACGTGTTTTTTTCAATATTCAAACAAGAAATCTACCTATCCATGTCGGGTGTTGCTGAATGGCGCTTTTTATTTATTAAACCTGAAATAAAGTCTTATTTTATTTAAAAAAAAATTATTAAAAACAATAATTAACTTCGTTAAAAATTTATTAGTAAAATAATTATCAGAACAATTGCTAATTATTCTTGAGAATTACATAAAAAAATACATTTACTTTTATAATATTCGTTTTTTAAAACCATTTTCTCGATTTTCTCTCGTTCGTTTTAAATAATAAATATATATAATATTTTTAAATTATTAATTTTATTTTGTACGGACTAGATTTAAGCCAAAATTAGTATTTTTCTTAAAATTAAAATAATTGACCTTAATAAACAATAACTTCAAACAGTATAAATTTAGTTTTGTAAATAAATTAAAGTGTGACTTTGAAACATTGAGGTATTTAATAGTCACTATTTAGCCATGTAAAAATTTTGGCTCATGATTTATGTTATGACAAGTCTTATATTTTGATCCAATTTCTAGCTTAGCTGTTAGTCATTAATTAAATCAATAGAATAAGTTCATTATTAGCTGACATAATTCTTTCAACTATTAATAATCATCTAGACAAAAATAATTAATGACAAATTGGTTTATTAGATCGCATGATGATTGCACTGAATTTTAATTAATAAAATATTTTATAAATCAATCAGTGTCAAAATATAAAACTTGTTATGACATTTAAATTAGCAGTTACTTGATTATTTTTTAATTTTATTAAACAAAAAAATTTGTTCAAAAAAAAAAATTATTTAAAAAAAATTAAATTTTTAATTTTCTAAAATTTATATCTAATTTTTTTCGCTATAATTAATTTGTTAAAAAAAATTATCAAATATCTGCTGAATTAATTTTTATGAAATTTTTTCTTAAAAATTTTTTAGTAATAATTAGAGAAAGTTTATAATTTCTGTATAATTAAAAATAAGTCTGAGTTAATGCTGATAAGACGGTGTAAAGTATTGAGTACCAGGAGGAGCTCGGTACCCTGGGTAATTACTGTTGAGAGCGTGTTGAGCAAAGAATTCTCCATAATCTTTATTAACACGTCGTGGTCTGCAAGCTGGGCCTTTGGCTAGTGCCATTCTCGCTTGGTTTTCAAGTTCTGATTGTTGTTTGACCGACTCTGGAGGCCACTTTAAATCTCCTCTCATTACTCCGCTCATAGGTGCCATCGTAGCAGCTGGCTGGGCTTGATAAACTGGCGCTGGATCCTAAAAAAAATAAATATCATTATTTGTAAATTTATTGGAAGAGTTTATGAGCTGAAACGATAATAGTCAATTTATTATAAATTATAATAGTTTTATTTGTAAAATACTTAAAAATAAACACTAAACTGTAATAATTAACGTTACAATCGATTGCTCTGTGAATATGATCATAAATCATCATTTATGATACCTTAAAACCCTTAGTTACAAAAGATACAAACTACAGTGACCGGAAAAAATAAAAATAAGCTACAGCCTAATTTTATAACATCACAAAAGTATCCTAAAATTGTCATAAAACTATCATGAAGTTGTCGTAAAATTGTCATAAAAGTACTTTTTACAATATTTTTTCTCTTAGTAACAGCGACAATATTTTTTTTAAATCTAAATTTTATTCTGGTTTGGTGTCATAACTTTGTTATAAATTGTGTCACGTTTAAAATCTTAAGTTTATGATTCTTTTAGGACGTTTTTTTATACGGGATAGATTATCTGAATTTATCATTAAAATTTCAAAGCAATCGGTCAAGCCATTTTAGAGATATCGTAGAAATAAGTTAGAAAAAACGCGTTGAAAAGTTGAAGTATTCAACTAATTATTCCGAACTATAACTTTTCAACTTCGGATATTATAAAATTATTTTATCAGCTTATTCTAATCGAAAATTTGACAAATTTGGAATTTTTGAAACGTTTTTACCAAAATATTTTTTTTTTTTCAATAACCCTAAGTGTCCCCTTTTAAACAAACAAAAAGCCGTTCCTATATCTACAATAGCCTTCGAGATATTACAAAAACAAAATTGAAAAACTGAAATTTTGGATTTGCATATCTTTTGAAAAAAAATTTTTATTGTTTTTTCTTTGGCAGAACTTCGTTTTATGATAAACGAAAACTTCTGACTAAAATTTGTCCAAATCGAAAGAAATCGATGCCAACTATTTGTCGATTTGACATGGAATGACCCAATTGCCAACTATTTCTTTAAATTTCGAAATTTAGTCATTTTTAAATAGTCTTTTTGTAGAGATAATCATAATTTGTCTTAGAGTTTTGTAAAGCTCAAAGACTCTACTTTAAGAATATACAAACGTTTTTTGTAAAAAATTTCGTAAATTATGTGTAAATTCAATTTAAAACAAAAAAGAATTTTTCCCATGTTAATTAAATGGGAAACTAAAATAACAATAGCGACCCCTTAGAGTTGAGCTATATAGGGCTCATCTTTGGTGAGGATTTTTTTTTATATCAAATAGAAACATTTGAGAGGGTAAGAGTTAAAAAAAAAATTAAAAAGTTTTTTTGAATTTCCCTAATACCTATTTTTGTGAATATAGATATAAAAATACATGGAGTGATCATATACTGGTACGTGATCATCTATTGGGGCTTTTACCTTACAATCATGTATTTTATTTAAACAATTCAGCGTATCAAAGATACATATTTAAAAAGTGTTGTGTGAAATTTTTATTTAAAAATTCCAAAAACTCAGCCGTTGATACCTCATCTCCCTTGACGTCTCAAAAAAAAATGCTCTTGTCGTGGACAGCATAACTCATTATTGGTTCATCTAAAATCAAAGATCCAAACATATTTCGTTAGTACATGGATAAATCTCGTTATTTGACGAAGGAGAATAAAAGAAAATTTAAATTTGAATTTTTGACAGACTTTGAACAAAAAAACACATTTTTTGGTCAAATTTTCGCTATGTATTTGCTCGAAAAAATTAGTTGAAATGAAAAAAAAAATCCTTCGTCCAATAATGAGATTTATCGATGTACTAACGAAGTATGTTTAGTTCTTCGATTTTAGATGAACCAATAATGAGTTATGATGTCCACGGCAAGAGCATTTTTGAGACGTCAAGGGAGATGAGGTACTCAACGGCTGAGTTTTTAGAATTTTTAAATAAAAATTTCACAAAATACTGTTTGCATATCGACGTTCTAATTAGCAAATTGTCTAACTCCATTTTAAAGAATCTTCTATTTGAACGAAAAAAACAATTAGTTCAAAATTTATTATCACTTTAAAAAACCATTTAATATCATTATTATTTAATAGAGATATAATATTTAAGTTTGAATCATTCAAATAATTTATAATTCAATTATGGCTACATCAAAATGTTAAAAAATCACCCTCTAAAATATAAGGAGTTAGACAAATTGCTAATTAGACCGTCGATATGTATCTTTGATATGCTGAATTGTTTAAATAAAATATATAAGATATTTCTTGTAGAAAATTAAATTCCTCAACAAGTTTTTTATGAAAAATTTTTTTACAAGACATATTTTTGGGAAAAATCTTTGGCCTAGTTATGATAATTAAAAATGATAGTTTTATAATTATGTCACGGCATAAAAAGGAAATAACAAGTTTTTTTTTATGTAGTGACATAAATTAAATTAGCTTGTCTAGATTCACATTTTTGGAGTAACTATTGATAATATTCCAAGTTTTTTAAGTATAAAATTTAACATAATTAAGAATTAAATTATGAACATAATAAAAATTCAGAATTAAAATTATGTACATTAAGGGGTGTTAGGTGGGTTTCAGAGGTTAAAAAAAATGGTATTTTTACTATTTTTTTTTTTTTAAGTATATACAATCATATAATTTTTTAACACGACAAATATTTTCACCGTAATTTCTCAAGTAAGATAAATGATTAAAATTTTTGCTAATTATAAAAATCGCAATTTTTTATACGAGTAATATTTCCGCGGTAATATAAAATGTTTGACACCATTAATTATTAATTTATATTTTGAAATTAACGCAAAAATTCTGGCCCTAATTATGACACATAATATTTTATTATCTCCCTTCAAACTAATTGTTTCTTAAAAAAATCTATGTGTGAACATAAAATTAATTTATTTCACTTTAATTATTTTGTGACATAAAATGTCGATTTTTCCTTTTAGTTATCAATTTTATAATAATTTATCTTTTACTATTAAATAATAAAACGGCGTGCCATAATTTTAATAATCAATTTAAGAAAAAAAAAAATTTAATATATATACATAAATTTAATTCTGAATTCTTATTATGTCCATAATTTAATTTTTATTTATATTAACATTTAATCTTAAAAACACTTGAAATACTATCAATAATTACTCTACCCTTTACCCTAATTTCTTCTCTATAACTTTAAAATTTTAATTTTATGATCCTGACGTTAGTAAAAATTGAAAATATTTTGCTAACTTCATACTGATTCTAACCAATGTAAGAAATACTATAATTTAATTAGATTTTAATAAAAAACTTAGAAACAAAATTGAAAAAGTTTAATATAATTAAATTCTTACTATTTTTTAGATTTAAAATAACAGAATTGTAAGTTGTTTTTAATCAGAAATTAAATAAAATTAAATAAGTAAATTTTGAAGTGGAAACATTAATTCAAAATGGCGAATTTATAACTTGAAGTTAGTTCTTTAAGAATTATTTTCAAATATTATTTAATGAGAACTTTAAATGTTTTTTAATAAAATATCTTAACAGAATTATATCGCATAACTTTGTTGACCTTTTAATTAATTTTTGTAATACTTAAATTTAAATATTGTAAGGCAACTATGATATTTTGAGTATCATAATTCTTGGCAATTTAACCCGTTGTCATTATTAATTGGTTTCCCTTGACAATATATAAAACTGGAGGCGGTTTTTAAAACAAATCCTAGGTTGTTTAACGATACAATATTTTGGACGTAAGCCCATTTTTAAAATATCATTTTTTCTTAGTTTTGTAAGATATTTTAGTTTCGCAAATATACGTTAAACATTTTATAAATAAAACACTATGCTTGAAGTAAATATTACAGCAAGCGCGTCAGCAGTATGATTTATTTTTGAAAAACCGCCAACAGTACTGTAATAAATATAATATCTTAATAATTTTATAAAACAAATCGAAGCGTATTAAATATATAATCGTATGACAATAAAAATAATTTACTTGAGAAAACGGCGCTTTTGGTCTAAGAGTTGATTTAAAACAATAATAATAATAATGATTTTTTCTGTTACAGAAATAACAATCAGAAATGCCAGTATGAGAGGTAATTAAAAACTTTCTTCCAATAATAATAATAACAATAATAATAATAATAATAATAATAATAATAATAAAGATCATCACAAACAAAACAGTACAACCTTTATTCATTTATTTATTTTTTTTTTATATAAAAATATCCCACTATTTTTTTTTTTTAATTTCTTTAATTAAAAATTACCGCTTAGTTAAAAGTACAAAGATAAATTTTAATGTAGGAATACCAAACGATTCCCTAGTGGAACGTGGACTTGTAAAACCTTACTCAGTATCTTCGATTTATACAAGAAAAAAAAATGGAATAATACGAGGTAATTTTTTTTTTGGCAATTCTTTTAGTTTTCTTAATTTTTTTTTCTATAATAAAAAAATTTTTTTTTTTATTTTGTAAAAACTTTTTTTTTATTTTGTAAAAAAATCTTTTTTTTTTATTTTTATTAATATTAATATTTTAGTTAGAAAGCTTTTAAAGCTTAAATCTTAACATACACAAACACAAGCTTGCAGATTAGTGCCAGTGCTGGTGGAAATACAAAAAGTAATTTTTTAAGCGGTTTATCGTAAAATATGTAGTCGCTAAAATATTTATAGAATTTATTTAGTAATTTTACTGTTAATGTTAATGTAAAAAATTAGCAAGAAAAAATTTTTTTTTATCAAGCATGAATTTAATTTATTAGAATCTGTTTATTTATAATTAGTTTAATTAAGAATTTTCTTCAGCACTGTCCACGATATATTATGAAGAAATGTATCCTAGCGCCCTCTAGAATTTTTTTAGGAATTTTTTTTATAACCCGCATGAATTACAATGAATTATTATTAACAGGAGTAACGATAGCTGGAGGAGCGAGATCAGGCCGCGGAACAATTATAAGAACGCTTATCTTCGTATTTCTCGCGACATTCCTTTGGCTCCAGCTACACGTTATCAGTCTGACGGGGCGAAATTCCTCTGGCCAGTCGTCGATTAACGAGAGCATTTACGCCTTAGTACCTCAGGAACTCCAAAGGTAAGATTTTTTTGAGAATTTTCAAAATTTGGAAATTCACGATTTTCTTAGTTTTATCATCTTAACAGTAAATCTGGCTAGATGGTCAGGAATAGGGAAAAATTGATAAGGACCTTTTCTGTGAGAAATGAAATTTCCTACACACACTGAAAAAAAAGTTTTTTTATACCCGGAATACTGAATATTTTTTAGTCGAGTTTTCTTGTATGCAGTAAAAGTCAAGTTAAATATTTTATTTCATAATTATCTATCGTCAAGATTCGTGTCGACCAAGGGAGGTTAAGTCGGCCATATTTATTTAAGTATTTTAATAATAGGGACCGAGCGCTAACTGTAGAGGCAGCACATCAGTCGGAAATGGCGCACCCTGATGTTTAACAAAAGCACTAAATGGGCAAAAAGTATTACAATAGCTTATGTATTTTCTTACTAAACTAGAATTGAATTTTGCGCGCGCAAGCGCGCGCCTAACTATAGAGTTACATATATTTTCATGCTTATAATATATTCGACCAATCACGTTACGAATAGTTTGATGCCACATACATTTCATCTCTATTTTATATTAGGACTAGAATTTGAATTTACGCGCGCAAGCGCGCGCTTTGACTATAGAGTTTGCATATATTTTCATGCTTATGATATATTCAACCAATCACGTTACGAATAGTTTGATGCCATATACATTTCATCTCAATTTTATATTAGGATAATAGAAAAAATAATAAAATATGCTTTTTGACCAGTATTAATCGGCCGTATTGGAAGCAAAAATAATTGAGAAAGTTAAAAAAAACTTTAGGCCATGTATATTAAATGTGTTAAAAGAAATTCAACATTATTAAGTCAAATAGCCATGTAAACATAGCCTCCAAAGTTCAATTCCGCCTCTAAACACTTCGTATGCCTGTCATTTTTCTCTGGAATACCACTAGTACTGAGCGAAAAATAATAAAATTTCACAAGTTTATCAATTTGACGGTTCCGACTTGATATATTTATGTATGTCGTGATATGTCAAAACTCTACAGTTAAAAAAATTTCAAACAATTTATTAATTTATTTAAATAAAAAATAAATTAACATTAAATCACATGTAAGAGTTTAAAATTTTTGCCCATTAGCTTACAATTTCTATCACCAGTTGGCGTGATAGTCTAGAGGCTCGGTCCCTATAAGAATACCAAGTTTTTTTATATCCAGTAAACTTATTCCTATGGATAGTAAACTTTGGTATTCTTATTTTAAGAATACTTTTTTTTTAACCACAGGGAAAAGTTTTCTAGGAGGAAAAAAACTTTTTTTTACTAGTGCAGAAGTTTTTTGACGCAATGACGCAAAATTTTTTATGGTGTATAAAAGACGACTCTTATGATTTTTTCTTATCTTCCATAATTAACCCCGAATTTCGATTTTTAACTTTGAGAATAAAGTGGGTTAGTCGAATAAGCTTAGAATTGAATTTTGAATTGAAATTATGTTTAGAGGGTTAGAGATAGTGAAAAATTTGTCCGGACCTTTTTTGTGGGAAATTAAATTTTCTATAATGAAAGGTTCTAAGTAATTCTTCCCAATTTCGATTATTTAACCCAGAATTGATTCTAAACTTCGTTAAACACGTAGTCTAATCAAAATCGGTTAAAACTGAATTTCAAATTAAAATTTTGTACGAATGTTAAAGAGATAAAGAAAAATTTACAATGATGCTTTTTGAAGGAATTAAATTTTCTACAAAAAAGGTCTCTCATAATTTTTCCGTATCTCAAATCCTTAATCCAGAAATCGCAATTAAAATTTTTCTGCTGCCGCATTTTGGTCTGTACCTTGATTTTGCAATGACTATAACTCGGAAACTAATCAACCGAGTTTCCTGATTTTCTTATAACTTAACGTACACTACCGACGGAAAATTTCCGAACAAGCTTCTTGTTTACTTTTAAATTTAAATATGATACATGTACACATTAACTTGATCTATAAAGAAAATGCTATGTTATTTTACAAAGTGTGTACAATCGTGTCTTTGAACTTCCTCTTGATTTATTTTACTTTTAATAAATTTTCATCTTGTCCGGAAACTTTCTGTCGGCAGTGTAGAATATTGTCCCCTAGGTCCTCTACAAAAAATTAACTCAAAAATCCCATTTGTTGACTAATTAACTAATATTTAATATTTTTCCAGATTTTTAAAAGACAGAAGAAATTCCTCCCAGACAAATGGAACTCTGGGTATTTACGGAACAAGCTTCGATATCGGGGACATTAAAACAACGATAGCGAAGCTCAACAGCGAGCAAAAGATCTACAATGATGATATTTTCGGGCCCTTGGGGACAGACGCCCCAATTATTGTCATACAAGTGCACTCGAGACTTACCTACCTGAGGCATCTGATAGTGTCCTTGGCCCAAGCCAAGGAAATTGAGGATGTCCTGCTGATCTTCAGCCACGATGTCTGGAACCCAGACATCAATTACCTCATTCAGAGCGTCGATTTCTGCAGGGTCATGCAGATTTTTTATCCTTACAGTATTCAGACACATCCGAATACTTTTCCCGGAGAAGATCCCAATGATTGTCCGAGGAATATCGATAAAAAACAGTAAGTTTTTTGGTAGTGAGATTCCGGCTGAAGGACGAAAGATACGAAAAAATTAATAAGGACCTTTCTTATAGTAAATTAAATTCCCTCCAAAAAAGGTCTCTTATAATTTTTTCAATCCTTGATCTATAGAAATTGCGATAAAACTTTTCTGATCCGCGCTTTGGGGTGTACCTAGATTTTGCAATACCTATAACTCCTCAACTAATCGACCGATTGACTCTGTTCTATCATAACTTAACGTAAGATAGTGTCCCCTAGGTCCCTACAAAAAATCAATATCCCCTAGTCATTATTTCGTACCACAGCTCCTAATAAAAACTATCTTACAGAGCTCAAGCGTTAAAGTGTATTAACGCTCAACATCCTGACCTCTATGGGCACTATCGGGAGGCGAAATTCACTCAAACGAAGCATCACTGGTGGTGGAAAGCCAACCGGGTATTCGATCAACTTAACGTGACCCGCAATCACACCGGAATGGTGTTGTTCCTCGAGGAAGATCATTACGTCGCGGAGGATTTTCTGCACGTACTAAAACTTATGGAACGTACGTGCAAGCACAGTTGTGAAAGATGCAACGTTCTTTCTCTGGGCACATACTTGAAGACTTACAACTACTACGCGGACTTGAGTCGCAAGGTATCTAATATTGAATTTTTTATAGCTTTCGCTGTAATTTACCGCCTTAACAAGATGGATGTACTCGTTGCACAAAATGGTCGTTGCTATTTTGCCGGGAAATTTTTATTTTTCAATTTAAGTTTTTTAGAAAATTTTCAAATTTAAATTCCGGCTGAATGATTAAAGATACACGGAGAAAAAAATTTAGCTACAGGAACTCTTTAGTAGATAGTTAGTTGTAAAAAGTTCCAGTAGGTTAACGCATTCTTATGGTAACAATACCGTTTGGCTCCTATAACTCTATGTCGTTGAGCTCTAAGAACTAAACGTTTTGAGATTATAACAAATTTTAACAAATCTATAACGATTTAATATTGATAATTTAATAAATAAATAAAGCAGAACGAATTTATATTGCCAATAATGATTGTATATGACAAATAAGAATAGTATTATAATAGAAATAAAATAAAAATAGAACTTATATTACAAATAAAAATTATCACAATCACAATATATTATACCAAAAGTTTGGAAAATCCAAAATTGCACGCCTCATAGCACTCATTCATTTAAAAAAAAAAAATTAATTGTGTAATTAATTAAAAAATTATAATTAAGTAATTTCTTACAAAGTATTTTTTATTTTTTTTTTTAAATATCGGCGCTCTTTCTTCTTGTCGTGCGCGCACGCAGTCTAAAAAAAAATCTAGCTTGATCAAGTGGCGCCATAGTTTTCACGTGACAAATAAAGAAAGTTCGTTTAGCTTTGTACGGTTGTATCGTAGTAAATTTTAATGAAAATTCAATTTAAAAAAAAAATACGTAAGCTAGGCTACTGATATGCAATACGGACCCAGTTCATCGAATTCTTAAACTAATAAAAAAGATCCGGTCTTGAAATATCAATTTGTTCGGGAGTAATCGTTGGTACATCCAAAATGGGGTGACATCCGGACGTCCACGTAAAATTTTTTTCAAAACGTTTTTTTTTTCAAAATAGCAACATGAAATGATTTTAAAAAGTAACAGATGGTTTAATTTAAGTGTTTTTTCGGTGTACATCTACTTATATCATTGTATAAGTGTAATATGGTTGTGATAGAGGCATTTAAAGATCACAAAATTGCTTGATCTTAACGAGTCGAGTATAAAGCACAACCTCACGCGCTTCGCGCTATGAGGCGTGCAATAAATTAAATTAACAGTCACTGCAAATCAACCTTGAAAAACCATAAATACAAAACCGTTCTAACGAAATTCAATTTGATAAAAAAAAATACCTATTTCTTTAAACAAATAAACTAGAAACTTAATTGTAATTGTCCCCATATATTTTTAATAATACTAGCAATCGAAATTGCGCGCTTCGCGCGCTTTAATTTTTCAACCAATAAGGAATCGGGGACCACATTTTTGCGATAATTCGATACTTAGTTAACTTCACACTTAATTTTATTTCATCTATTTTAATTTTTAAAAATAAATAATAATATGGACGAGTAACAAAATAATTATGATCGTCATTTTTAAAGGTTATGAAATATGTCAGCGCACTCTACTACTGCGCAACTTAAAGCCTTCTCAACTATACCGTTTGTCTCTCAGAACAAACCCGTTGAGCTCTGAGAGCTAAAAAACATTTAGTTATCAGAACTAAATAAAATTTTGTTACTGTAACTCTATAACAAACAGTAAACTGTGTATAGTTATGGTAACTCTAAAATTTGGTTCCCAGAACGAAATTTTTTTTTCCGTGTCGGAAAAAATTGATGAGAACCTTTTTTTTAGAATATTAAATTTTTCATAAAAAAGGTCTCTTATCATTTTTTCGCATTTTTAATTTTTAACTCAAAATTTTGATATCAAACTTTTCTTCACTCGTAGTGCAACTAAGCAAGCTAGGAACTAAATATAGGAATTTGAAGATACCAAAAAATTTGCTCAGTATCTTTCTTGTAGATAATTAAATTCCCTACAAAAAATAATAATTTATAATTTTTTCATATCTTCAATCCTTAACGCAGAAATTGCAAATATAATTTTTCTGCTCCGCGCTTTGAGGTGTACCTTGACTTTATCAGAACTATAACTCCTAAACTATTCAACCGATTTGTATAATTTTTTTAAAACTTAACGACAAATAGTGACCTCAGTGGCTTTAAACTCGGATACTGGAGTTTCAGTTAAAAATAACAATTACAAAAGTATTTATAACTTATACATATATAAAACGTGGATATAGACATTAAAAAGCAAACATAAAACCCGTGAGTTTTATTATGTATGAGTCGCTTTAAATATCTACTGACAGTTCATTTATTTCGTTCTTATTTCGTCGAAAGTATTTTTACGAAAATAAACGGATTATTTTTTTTTATGTCGATGAAAATAAATAAAATTTCTTGCAGATGAAAAATAGAATGACCTGAAATTGAAAAAAAAAAAACAAAAATGATTAACTTTTATGCTCTTAACGATAATTAAGCGTTGTTTGTTGTAATTAAATTATACGTCAATAATAGTACGTCGTGTTAATTAATAAATGTTACGGGTCATACCTGGTATTTTATTTTTACTGGTTATTGTCTCGTGTCTCGAGTAATTTTTTTATCGATTTGTCTTTTTAGCGTCATTTTTAGCAAACTAGGGTCGCTTAATGGAGATTAAAAGTGTTACTATATAATTATTTTAATTTGTTGATGCCACGACAAAAAAAAATTTTTGCTGCATTGACACTCAAAATCAATATAATATTTTTTTAATATTTGAATAAGAGTAGTTATATTTGTCGACATTATCGCGTTAGAATTTTAATTGGAAGGAACAGTTTTAATCGGTAATCAAAGTCTTAGACTGCATTAATGCTAAAAGTCAATGTAAGGTGTCAATAATTCGATTTTAATCTGTTAGTGTGATATTGTTTAATAAAATCACATTAGAATTTTAATAGGAAGCATCTTTTCACAGATTACGACGATTTTAGACTGCATTGACTTTCAATATGAATGTAATAGATTTTTGGGACGATATTGAGGGTATTAGTCCATATTTATGGTTAAAATTTCAATTAGAAGTGCCGTCCTATGATGACTGTCAATTTCAAACAGTACATTGATGATCACAATCATTATAAGCCAAAAGCGCCGATTCTAAGTTGCATTGACACTCGAAGTCAATGTACTGCCATTGATATATCTTTTATTGGTAATATTTTTTATTAACATCACATTAAAACTTCAATTAAAAAGTCGTAATACAATGAATGACAATTTAAGACTGCATTCACAACTAAGATCAATGCACTATTATTAATCAATATTTTTATTGATAATGTCTTTTATTATATTGCGATTGAATATTTTCAAAAATAACATTTCTAGATTACATTGACACTCAAAATCAATGCAGTGTCAAATTTCAATACCTCGATCGAGAATATCAATTAAAAATATTTTATTACAACTTTGATTAAAGTGGCTTAATACAAACAAATAATGAAAGTTTAAGACTGCGTTGACGTTCAAAATCAATGCAGTCTCAGGTTTCAATACCTCTGTCAGGAATATCAATTGAAAATATTGTATCAAAAATTTAATTAAAGTGACTTAAAGCAAATAATGACAATTTATACTGCATTTACGCTCAAAATCAATGTACTGCCATAACCAAGTGCTTTCATTGATGAAATTTATTATTAATATTGCATTAAAATACTAATTTAACACTACATGGAAAAAAGTAAACTGTAATAAATAACAGTTGATTTATAATAAGTAATGATCAACTGCTAAAAATTACCATTTCAAACAGTAATATTCGCTACGTGAATGTCTAAAATGTTAAAGTATAATAATTAAGAATTCAGACTCTGATATTTATCATTTTGTACCTTAAAAATGATCTTATGATATGTAAAAAGTATAAAATAAAGTTAGTAAATTTCTAATACAAGCAACGTCAATATTTACAAAGTAAAATGGTAAATTTTAAACGCAACGCTAAAAATCAAACTGTAATTATTGACTTGCTTGGACTGGTAAAATGTATATTTTAAAAGTATAATTTTTACTGTTTCAAATGTTAAATTCTCCAAGAGTGAGACCCCCTTCTCTTTCATCTAAGTTCCCCTTCTCCTCATAATATGGACTATAGATTGAAATGGCAATTTTTACTGTTTGAAACTGTAATTTTCTAAGATGAAAGAGTCGTTATTTACTATAGTGACAACT